GAAAGGAGAAATTAAACTGATAAAATATTCTTAAATATTAAAATTATTATTGATTATTAAATATCATAATATTTTCATTACACTTAAATAGTAGGTACACGTACAACTGGTCTATTAACTGTAATCCATAATATTTCAAATTTTCAAAATTTAAGTGTTCCCTGATCGATATTTCGCAGGCAACATAATACCTATATACCTACTTGTCAGTGACTGTCATGGCAGGAATAAAGCATTGTTCAGACTCATCAATAATGATTTGAATTGTCATTGGGATTTCAAGTTTTTACGACTTTTCCTGATAACAATGAGTACCTATAGTATAATATTATATATACAGAGACAGGTGCATTTCGCCACTTTGACAATTGCAAAAGACGGATCTGCGCTCTATTTATTTATTTATTTCGACTAACTTTGGGCACATCGTATTACAATATAATAATATCACCGTGCAAAAGGGATTGAAAAACATTAATGCCTTAAGTGCATTCAAAGTATTTCAAACAAAATATAAACAAATATATCACAAAGTATATAATATCGTAAATACAGAATATTATTGTAAAACCGAACGATCTCACTCGATTCGATTTCGAGTCTTTTGCTGCAATATAATATAACAGGCACCTATATATACATATATTTTATGTGTAATATAACGAACGAAGTTATTACAAGTGTTGTTTTTTTCTGACTTTTCTATTTGTTTTGTTTATAAATATTTGATACAGATCGAAGTCCAATAAACAATAATGGTATTTTATTACGCGGTCCACTAAAATATAAAAATCTACCAACATAGATAATATTGACTGATTCGATTCATATAAAAGTTCTAGTCTTGTGAGTTGCAATGAACGTGCTCGTGAGCATTTTAATAATATAATTTATGCGTTCATTATTTAAAAGGATTTAAATATTTCTTTTCATTAAGAAATGTTTCAAAACCCTTCGAACATTTTGGTTTCTGTCCAAGTCTTATTTGGAAATAACAATAGTATTCAGAAAATATATAAGCTACCACCTACGGCTATACATATCATTTAGTTAATATATTCAATTATGACACATGCCTGTTCAAGTTAATGATACATTAGTTTAATTGAGTTAAGTTGATAGAAAACATTTGAAAAAGTTTAAGTATACATTGTACATTGTCTTTTTGAATGGCAAGATATTTAAAAATATGTATTTTTGTTTGTCTATAGATATTTTACAAATTTAAATGCATAATAATATACAATATAATGAGTCTTTAGTTTACCGAGGGTATAAAATATAGTTTAACATTTACTATTTATATATATACAGCGTATTAGTCTTTAAAGTGTTATATAATGTTGGAAAATGTAAAGTGTTTATGGGTGAGCGTTGTTAAATTTGTCTAAACAAAATATAACAATTAAAGTGCAATAAAATTCATTACACTTGGTGTAAATTGACCTTGAATTATATTTTACGATAGCTACAACAACGTGAATAGGTTCTATTTCTTATTTTTTTTATTATTTAATCAGGATTTCAAACAATCTAATTTCAATCATATTGTTTTCGTTGTGTATAAAAAAATATACATCACACGACAATGATGCTATTCTTCTATGGTTTGAAAAAAAACTCGTACGCCCATACAATTTATATGATGAGATTGTTGTATCGATTTCTTTTGATTTTTTGACTCTGTGTCGTAAATTGTAATAATTGGAAATAAAAAATAAAATACGGCAATCGACATGACGTGTTGTACGTCTTACGAATTGCATTCAAAAAGCAATTTCGCTCTATGCGTAATTATCACCGAGGTCGCCAATAAATTATGGACTTTTATATTGTTATCAGTACACCGTATGTGTGTACCTACTAACGAGTTGAATGAATTCATATTTTGTCTCAAGTCGGTATACCAGTGTGTTAAACCCCACCGATCGAACGGGAGGTATTACAGCATGAACTTTACGTTTAGATCCCGTAAATCGTATCGATAAGGGCACAGCGTGTAATAATAAATCGAGCGATTTGTGTGTTCTGTGGTGGTTTTTTTTTTTTTTTTCATGCATAAAACGACTTTGGCGAAAGACTGCGACAAAAAATTCGTAATTCGAAAAGACCATAATATATTGCGATGCTTCGTCGTATAATATGTGCACACGACCTGCGTAGAGCATAAAGGTTCTACCACATTATTGATATTAAAATAGCCCGACTATTGTGTATCCTAACGTCGTGCACGAGTATAGGACGAGAAATAAATCAATAAACGGCAGCAATAAGTACGTAATTTTTTGGGTACAGATTCCGTTTTGTTTTTTATCAATAATATAATATTATTATTGTTCGAACCGTAACGGTCGATAGATATTCTGCGACGCAGAAGACTACCTATACTATTATGATGACGTTATTAGCATATTATACGACGGATATCGTATTCTACTGTAGGTGTCTAGGTGTGCAATTGACTGCGGTTTTGGGCATGATAATAATATGGATAACTAACAAATTACCGTGTTTATGTCCATTTTTCAAAACTCGTTTCAACACATTATTACAAACACTTTTTAATTTTAATTTTAAATATTAATTTTAAAATCATGATTACTCTCGCGATTGCCTTTCAGTCAAATTCGGATTTTAGTAATTTTTTAAGTATAACAATTGTGTAATATTAATTTAATACAATATAATATACATCCAAATCAGTATGTGAATTTTATATAATTTTACTATGTACTATTATGAAGTCTTATTTTCAATTAAACGTAAAATACAATAATTGAAAACACGAAATTCGCATTGGTATTAATTCAGACTTTAGAGCAAACAAATATAACATGTTTGAACCAAAACATTTTGACAAAACAAATATTTTATTTGGTTGGATACAATAATTTACAACTCAAAAATGATTATTTTTAAAAACTATAAATTATTTTGATACATCTTCTAACCAGGAATCAATTTTGAAACAACAAACATAGTAGATATTAGAGGTGCCGATATATTCAAGCCCGAACCGGCCCATATCCTGACATGAAAAACTTTGCGCATTATTGTAGCCCACCTGTCCCTGTCCACTTTCATAAAATGTCCATAGTACATATACATATTACATACTATACACAAGACCAGTGAGGCTCATATAAGCCGAGGCTGGCCTGTCGTGCTAGTGAAATGCCTATTAGAATTATTATACATTACTCATATCATATCAAATATTTATTACCTATATTTAATAGGTCTTAAAAAAAATATTATATTATGTTATATTTATATAATTGTTATCACTCCATGTTTATATTGATGGTAATTCGCGGTGCGTATCGTGTGTAGATGTAAAATTTAGATGTAGAATTGTTATTGTACAATGTAAACAATATAATGTAGACGATACTACGGATAGACTAGGTAGTGGTAATTTATGGTTATTTATAGTAATATCTCAATACAATGATTACGACAATATTTGAAAATAATTATCAATTGAATTCGATTACGATCAACTTCGTATTCGCAGTTTATATAAAATATATAAAATATTTCAATTTATAATATCAAAGCCCAGCCGGCGCATCCTCTGATATGAAAAGCCCAGTCCATAAAAAGCCCTTAATTGTTATAATTTTTGAAACCCGAGCCCTCCCAAACATAATTTAAACTGTTAAGTCCACTTAGACCTTTTTCCCTAATACGTACATTAGTGTTACACTTACCGGTTGTATGTATTTTGTATTTGTCACGTTGCGCAGTCAACCTAATCCAAATGATAAAATTATGTTTTGGTTTTGATATTAATTACTTTACCTGGCTTAGTTGTATGAATAAAAAATAAAATATTTGTAGTACATCTAGTGATGTGCATTAGGAATATTCCCCAAGGAATGTTCCAGGGAACACGGAATATTCCCGGAATATTCCAAAACCTCAAAAAAAAAAAAAAATTATAATTTTTTATGTTATTCAGTATTTCAATTTCAGTATGTTTATTTTTATTTTTCAATATATGTAAATGATAGTTTGATCGTTTGTGTTCATTGTACAGATTTTAATTAAAAAATTAAATCATAGTTACTTAGTAACTTTTTTAAAGAATAAATATCTAAACTCACATAATATCAATAAAGAGCTGTCGTTTGGATCATTTAAAACCATAAGTTTAATTTAAAACTCAAACCAATTTCAATATTTAAAAACTTATTATATTCCCGGGAATTTGCCCACCATTAGGTACATCTAACCTACGACCTGCCTTGTTCGTATTGCTTTTACCAAACAAGAATAGTGTTTTAACTATTTAAATCTGTGCACATTATTATATTATAATATTTTTAAACGATAAGTATTTAGTGGGTATGATTTAGGATAACGACTCGTTACAAATACCTGCAGTTAAACAATAATATGTATTGAAGAATGATTGCGATCGTTCGGGAAGAAGTTACAATAATTACACACTATGAGGTGAGTTATAATATTTACTAAGCAGGTTTTAATTAAAAACGTTATGACGTCCAGGTAGTCTAAAAACTTAAAACGTAACTTTATACTTTATAATATATTATTATGTATTTATGTAAATTAATTTTGACTTATGGTCTTCAGGTATTTAAGTAATCATAATATAAATAAATTGTTGTTTCATTATTATTTTGTTTTGTAAATTATTATTTTTGTATTTTATTTTTCACAGACAAAATAAACTTATTTATATGCATTACATTATAGATTGTTATTCGTATAATATATAATATTATACAGTATAACAATCACTTATTATTTATCAGATAAGCCCAATACTGGATAATTATGTCCGTCGAGTTCTAGAATAAAATATTATAATATATTATATTAGATAGGTATCAAAGTAGTTGTAAAGGGTTTTTTTTTATTGATTTATTTCGTGTTTTATAATTATATATAAAATCGTATAGGATTATTCCAATTATAATGATAACCGCTCGTTGGTCATAGGAATTTACACCTGGGACATGACCACCCAACTAGTCTTCCAGCCTTTTCTTCTGATTCTTGACACGTCTGACTCTCGGACGTTCAGAAGCCGATTTTGAGCTGCTGGGGTAGTCTCCAAACTCTTGACCGTCATAGTTCGTGGATGGACTCTCGACGTTCCTAAATACTGGCAGGTCCTCCTTGGCCTGTGACATCTCCACTGGCCGTTCACCTGTTCTGGTATTTTCTACTTCAGGTGCCACGTAAGCAGGTGCTCTTGGAATTTGTCGGCAGTGTTGTTTCTGTCCCTTGGCGGCGGTGGCGGTTACATCGCCATCACCGTCATCGTCCATCTTTGGATCCATGTCAGCCTCTATGAGCGGTGAAATGTTCCACTGTCTCGACGCTCTTTCGAGTCCTTTACTTTTGATCATTTCTGTTACCATCCCTATCTTATTCTCATTGATCGCTCTGTACAACTCGGCAGACTCTTCGTCGATGGTTGCCAGACACATAACCTGCGAAACGGCGTTTGTAAGTAAACATTTTTATTTTTTTTTTACTTTGCAGAGACACTCTAAATATCGATATACGTTTTTATGCTTTTGGAATATAAAAATTAATTCCCCGTTCGCGTTGAATTCATGTACGTATCTGGTTCTGCACATCCACACGTGACCCCCCCCCCGCCCCCTGCCATCCAAACTATGGAGAGAGGATGCGTGGGGATGTGCAGAAGAACCGATTTTTTTCAGGTCACTGAGTGTTCTCAAGCTGGATTGAGTATAATTAAACTTTTAGTGGCCTTAAAAAAAAATCTAAAAAACCAAGTAGGTATATGAGTATCTGCACTTAAATAATATATTATATACCCGCTGTTTGAGAACTGCTATATGCATTTAGACATTTAATAATAAAATAAATATCCAACTATTTTATTCAGAATCAATTTTAGATAGATACTTAGTTGACTGCATAAAGGAAGTTCTTAATTGAATTTACATGGAATAAATATACCAACGTTTAGAGCATACAGAAAATGTACAGTGATTTTTTTTCTTCAAATTTAAAAATTTTTTATGACCCATCTCTACAAAACTAATACAAACATCTTGCGACGCACAATTATTCTTTATTGGCGATTGAAAAAAACACATGTAAATTGATGCGAAAATGATGTGTGTTTAAATACGATACTACGAAATCACAAATTGTTTGGAAAATTATTAAGGGAAGAAATTATTTACAACTAGCGAGATCATGGAACAGGTAATAAGCTCTATTTAGGATTTCTACAATGTTTGCATTTGCGGATGAGATCTGAATTTGCTTTGAAAAAACATTTTAAGCTTAGGTTTTGAATTATATTTTCATCATTTCTACACCTTCCTCCCCTCTCTAAGTTCTAACACAAACACAGGCGCACTGTAATTTTTTTTGACTGAAACTAAAATTATTATATTAAATAAAAGTAATTATAACGCGTGTGATCAATTTATATAGAGTTAGTCCCTTTGGGGTAATCAAAAATTATGAAGCTGCTTGTTATCTTTAGGGCACGTGTTATTATTGTATTAATTAAATAATATATAATTATTATCGTCATTATAATTATATACCTCCATCTTACCACAGAGCACTCTGTCGGCACGTGTTCGTGACCAATTTTCACTTGGTTGACCTTTGACGGTGTAGGACGTTATATTATAATATATTTAGACTATACAAGGTGATTCGATTAGGATGATCACCCAACGTTGTTCCCGCTTTAATTATTAACTTAATGAAATTCTGATTACTACAATTTTTAGTATACCTATATTAGGTAACTGTATTTAAAATACCATTAACTGATGAGTGTCCCAATCCAAAACATTTTTTTTTTCAAAATATGATAACACCATTTTTTTATGTAAATTGTTAAGTTAGTTGAGTTTTTGGAAATTTTTAACTATCTAAATTTAAACTCAAAATAGTAGTTTTTCTCTTAATGATGATAAATTTGAAAGATTTGGGTGATTGAAAATTACCAAAAATTGTACCTAATTAAATATACCTAACTAATAACGTTTTAAATATGTAAAAATTGTCTGAGGATAATTATACGGATAATTAATTATAATTAATTGTAATAGATAAAATATTACATATGTTATATTTTGCATTATTTGTGTTATTTACTATTATTTAACTATTATCTTTACCAAATACATTTTAATATTTCAATAACTAACTCGTTCAGATTTTGATTTAAATATGTATAAAAATATTCGAAAAATTATCTACTTAATAATGTACACTAAACGAGTTTGGCTTAAATGTATAAAAAGTTGTGAAAACCTACACTGAATACTCCTGGATGACATTAAAACATTGAAGAATTTTAAAATATGGTTCTCAAATGTATTAAAAATAACAATTAAAAGGAAAATAGTGGTGAGAAATGAACATGCTATAGTTGAATAGCTTTGTATAACATCTGTAAAAATTTGTTAAATATGGAATGTATCACCTGGCTACATCACGCAGTGCAAGAGTATTAATTTAATATACATTTTTTTTTTTAAATTAAATGATTTCAAAAATACTATATATTTTAAAAATCATGTAATGAATAGTGAATAATAGTCAAAACACTCTAGAAATACATTTCAAAAATATCGAAAAGGTCAATATTTTTTGCTAAAGGAACAATCGCAGAGTGACATAAATTATAATAATTATTAGGGCTAGGAAAATGAAGCACTAAAAACCTACAATAAAGGAATTAAAAAATTGCCAATAATGCTACAAAAAAAAGCATTTAACCAGGAAAATGCAACTAAAAAAGACTTAAACATTTTTAAGTTTAGCTGAAAAATTGTTAAAACAACTAAGTACAATTTATAAATATTGAAAAAAAAAAAATTAAAAACTGTTTTATTATATTTTAGGTACCTGTTTATTATATAAATATTAAAAAAGACTATAAGATATTTTAAATTTCTTTGATATTTTGTAATATTTTGAAAACAATTTTTCCGATTTGGCGATAATATTTCACTACGAATTCACAAAATATATATAATTATACAATTAAAATAAATGAAAAAATAATAATTTAGATAAGTATGTACGTAAATGTTAAAAAATATGCGTATAATTAACAAAAACCAATTAAAAAGCTAATAAACTGACAAAAAAGTACCAATAAAGCATTTATTTACAAATATCACAAGAAAAATCAAAAAAAGCAAAAACAAAATTGCATATTTGAACTCTGTGATGAATGAATCGAATTTTGTTTTTGATTAGCTATGTCCTGGAGTACTATGAAAGAAAATGCAAATGCTACAAAATCCTAGCCCTAATAATTATATTTATAATGTTATGATAGTAATCACCACCTAGCGAGTAAATAGATTTCTGTAAGGTTTTGTGCTGGTGATAATAATAGTGTGTACTCGTGACCGGATGTGGAAACGCTATGATTATCCAGTAAATACATATGTCGAGTTGCACAAAAAAATTGATTAATACAGTGTATGTCTCGGTAACTCGAACCTTGATAACTCGAAATTCTCAGATGATAATAATTTATTAAAATCATAATATTATTATAGCGGTGTTATGATTCAGTGACATTCCCAAAATCAACCGTTATGATGATTTTTTTGGGTTACCTAGTTTGGATCGTATACATAATACTATTATGATTAAAATGCATATAAGGATTGAGGGGCGTAACCCCCCGAACATCTTTTTTTGTTTGACCTACTCTAGTACTGTCTACTAGTTCTGACATTTATTATTTAAATGCCAGTGCCCAAACAAAATATTCACCCTTCTAAGGGTGAAAGAAAATTCAGGAGGTGGGGCCAACTTGTTTTATCATATTGTCAATATGACGTCATACTGTTCTATAACGTTTTCTTAAATAAGGATTTTGTGTTTTTTTTTCAGAGAACTGTTTTTTCACTTAGAATCTCTATTATAATATTATACATAGGTAGTCGGAGTACTACAGACTACGCCTGGACACATTATTGCGTTGTATTTCGATGGAAAAAGGTTGACAATTTCGTTTTAGAACTCTGTTTTTGAACCTTTGATGGGATTGTTTTCAGCATTTTTTTTTCGAAAGATACGTCATCAAGTTAATTTTCACACGTTTATATCGGGTATATTGTTATACAGCGGTGGAATGCAACGTCATCGCATCGTTTTTCAATAACACTACTAAATAAATCCAATGCCAAGTTTTTATGGTTCGGACATGTTTTTTTTTTTACTTTTTAAATTTATTGATTATTTCTTTCTTTCAGAACGCGGAATAATTTATTGAAAACAACTAAACACTGGCGACTGCGGCAGTGTATACACGTATCTAATTGAGGTGGTTGACTAACTTCGAATTAAAGTAAAAAAAAATAAATAAAAATAAAACCTAAATGTACCTACGCATATAAGTGCATTTCCTTTTAAGTTTCCGACCGCTGAATATTTTATACGACGTATATATTCGCAGTTGTAATAATAACCAAGAAACAATTTATTATTTACGCGGCTTACTAACTCAATACCGTTAGCTGAAATATTTTAAACGAAAAAAAATATGAAATTGTATAACTTATTTAGAAACTGTTTACAGTAAACGTCTTAGCAGTATACAACTGCTGACGTGTATGGCGTATGCAATAATATTTACTTCTATGTGCTCTCTATATAGGCACTTAAAACTGTCCAAAACATAAATTTCTCGTTTAACTCAAAATGATCGTAAATATGATGTGAAATTACTTTTTCGAGAACCTCGAAATATATCAACTTGATCGTCAGTTATTATTGGTCCGATGAAGAAATATATTATCATTGTGTCAAACGAAACATGTTTCCTCCATCGTTGAATGCACTTTCGTTACGAAAACACGAAATACGTGGCCTGAGTGAGTAATGCTCTCTACAATACACAATTGCATTATTATATTATTATAACTCACAATAACGTTGTGCCATGTTCTGTCCAAAAACTGTAGGTATTGATTTCGTTGTAAAAAAAACGTGCAGCAGTTGTAATTAAATGTGTTACCTACACATCTGTTGATGAAATAGTTTACAAACGTAATAATTATCTTTTTAAACGTATTATACATAATATTATTATACCTAGCGGTTGCAGTAATAGTCAGTTTTCATAATATATTTTTATATTTGTAAGTCTCTCATGAAGTGCTATTATTGAATAGTTTCTTCAACCAAGCCAACCACGACCTATTATGTATCCCCCTCCATCGTGCTTATTGTAAATATATTTTTTACAGATTAAACAATTATGACAAAAAAATATCTATAAATCTAACGGATAGTTTCATACAATACATTATTATACTATGCATATTTGTGATTTGAGTTTTAATGAAATATTATGTAAAACGTTCTCTCTTTATTTTTAATGGCTGATTTAGTGCAATCATTATATAATATAGCTACAGCCCCATAGTATGATTACGCATCAATAGGGTATTAGGGTATAGAAATAGAAAAATCAAAACTTGTAAACAAATTCATCGAACATTGTTGGTAGATTGCTTAATATTTTTAGTGAGTTATAGCAGCTGAGCTTATTTATTCATCTGTTTTTGACACGTCTGTTAGAAAAAGCTACTAAACAAAGTTTGATTTCAATAGAAATTTGAAAGCATCACAAATTTTGACGATTTGAATTAGTATTACCATTTCAAAGGACGAAAATAATATGTGCATCACACGTCCGGCTTAATTATGCACTATGCTACAATACAGGGTTATCGAATCATCGGATGCCTTGCAACAGGCTCCCTAGGTTACCTCTTGATCTAAAGCGATGTTGTTTTGGGGGATATTTTGTTGAAAATACTGTGTAGGCTACACAGTATTTTAGGTAACTACCACCAAAATCACGAACCACACACGAACTAGCTAAACAATCAGCGGAGTCTGCAATTACAACGCATATGCATGGAATGAATTTGATGCTTACCGCAACCATTAACAAAAATTAAAATATTCTTCTTTTTATTTAATATAACATCACGATATTATAATACAGTAGAACTCCGATTATCCGAACGCCAATCAAACGGACGTCCAATTAACCGGACGAAAAAAAAAGGTCCTAAGCTAAAGATTATATCATAATATTATGTTATACTGTTATTATACTGATATTATGTTATTGTGTTATACTAGCTGGGAATGTTGGAACATAATAGTGAAATACCCACTTACAACATGTTTGTATTTATTGGTAATATTTACTTCAAAATAATCAAAATATAAGTATTTTATATTTTGGGGGTTCAAATTGTTAACTCGGTGGTTCAAAAGTCCCCTATGCACCCCCCCCCCCCCCCCCAATGGTCAGTTGTTGTCTAATCATCACACAGTTTAGTCTGTCAATTGTTATATTATTATAACTAGTGAATTTGCGTGTTACAATGTCCCTAAATAACTTTTAAAATGTCATACGTCAATCATCCGGATATTTGCTTATCCGGACCACCCCCTTGACATTAATTAGTCCGGATAATCGGAGTTCTACTGTATAAGTAATATTATAAGCACTCGGAATCGGACGAATCGTTTTGAACTACCCTGTATATTACTGTTATAGTTATAGTTTAGTCACAACTATATAAGAGTCGAGATTGTTTTTGGTCATCGCGCATTACGTCTTATACTCGTAATAATTTAATAACTATTTTACTCGGCCCGACCGACGACGAACAATCGCAACTCCCCTCCTCCTCCCCACACCACACCGAATTCGCGATGGTTGATACCGCGGTACGATCGGGATACCGTACCTACGACATTATATAGGTGCACGTCTTACTTGGGCCGTCGCGAATACCCACAGTATCGTCAGCCCGCGGCCTGCGGCGATGACGGCGATCGATCTCCTCATGGCGGCGTCGATGGCGAACAGACGTTGAAACGATAATAATATTGTGACGTTATGCCTATATTATAATATCCGTGTGCGTCCCAATAATTTCAGGTTTAATAATATGATAAAATGTTGTGTTAACACCGAAACGAACTGCACTCGAGCGCATCAGGTGCGATCGGAGACACGAGAGGCATTGCGATCCGAAAACTCGGGTCGTCGTATTTATTTATGCGCGACCGAGACGCCGATGGCTGCACAACAAAGGGTAAACGTTTTTTTTTCCCACTTCCATTGTCGTCGTAACAATATACGTTTAGTATCCATACAATTTCTAAAATATTTAAAAATATACATCATAATTATTGTTCGGCATATTTATTTATTTATTTGTTTTTTGCTTTTACAATATTATAGGCAGGTACACTGTCGTCGCGCGTCGTTGTCTTCGTTATTACGTCGACGTCATCGTACAACGCGTCCTGTTGTACAGGTAGTTGTTATTATTATTAATTTTTTTTTTATATAAAAAAAAAGTGACACGTGTGTTGACATAAAGCGTAATGTATGTACCTAATATTATAATAATGTGTATTAATTACGAAAACATTTCGCTAATATTTTAATGCACGCTTTGGTTTTTCGCGAGCGCGTTTGCATTACATGACGGGTAATATATAACTTCGAATATGGAAGTAGGTATATGGAGCTTACCACTCGATCCTTCCCCGGAGAGCGGGCGCCGGTTTTGAGAGGGTTATTGTGAGTGGGTGGAGTTGGTGGCGAGGGGGTGGCGTGAGAGAGATAAAAAAATGTAACCCATATATTACATAATATATATGTACACACACATGGCCGACAAATGATCGATGCCTCTGCCAGCGCAGGTATATACATATGACGAGTAAAAATTGTTGTTCTATTGTTCGTGTACCTATGCACGCCATTATGCACACGGACCGCGAGCAGCTGAAAATCATTTGGTTTGACAACAATTTGCACACATTTCGTAAAATTTATCGGAAATTTGATAGCTCGTTTGAGAACGGGTTTTTAAAAATGTCATAGCATATTTTTAAAATGGTATTTGTCGGTCTGCAGATATTTGACGGAAAAATATATAAACAAATTTAGTTTTTTAATCGAGTCCAAGAGTTTCCTTAATCCTAATAATAATATTAAGTATGTAAAGTTTTAAATATTATACTTAAAAACGCATTGTATATTTTATTCTTTGCTGGGCCTAAGTCAATTGAAACTATATTGCGTGATACTTGATATTAATATATTATTACTATAAGAAGTAATAATCATTTTAACTTTTTTTTCAGGACACTGTTGACGGTATCTTACAACATCTCGTTGTGTTAAGATTGATTTTATTGTTCGTATTTTTTCAAAATACTAATTAAATACCTACACATTCCACTTATGAATCCTGCGTTGGTAGCTGGCATTTCAATATTTTATTGAAAAAATTCCTCCAATGTCAGTAACGTTTTGAAAAATATTAGAAAGTTTATACTATAAACAATAATTATTTAAACAAGAAAAAATATTGAACGATCACTGTCCGTACTAGGTACTTATATATTATGTTATTCTAAAGGTCTATCGACATTCAACAAAATATTTGCATGATAATATTATGAATGTGCCTGGGTTTATCCACATAGACTACAATTAGGAGCAACAGGACCAGTAAGTTGGGGTTTTTTTTTGTAAAATAATAATAATCAATAGGTTAGAACGTTCATACACTTTTACAAATCGTTAAATATAATATAATATCGCCCGCCACAGAGAAGAAGGTCGCATCTCTGTTTTCACAATTTTTTTTTTTCAATCTGTAATAAGTAACTATTTTTGTGTAGTTCTCTCGAAACTTATAGTAGGATAAAACAGTCAAAGACGTTCTATACAATAAAATGCAGTTATACTACCTTCAGAACTACACAAAAATATTAATGAAAACTTGAAAAAAAAAAATGTGAAAACAGATATACGACGTTCTTCGCTGAGGCGGGTGATATAAATAAAAATTCAATATAATATTGTAAATGTTTCAAATCAACTAAATAACACAAATAATAATACGTCGTGTTGTTGTTGCAGGTGACAAATACAATTTTATCAGTAAATTTAAAAATGAAAATAATATTATTAAAAAATAATCTAAATATCGGACGATATTAAATGATTCAAAGATGAAACAACCATATCAATTGTATGAACACCATTATTGGTGAATTTTTCAGCCGATAAACACACAACAAAACTTTTAAAAAACTTCGGTCATATATCCAAGACCATCCTCGTTATATTAATTGTATACTATCTATTTATATTGTTTTGTATAATATAATAACATATTATGTAATACGATTTTAATTGTTTTAGACAAAGATGAATTATCCGTACGATAAGGCTCATACGATGATACGCGTAATTCGATAATCGTTATAAATTATTACACTGCCAACTCTGCCGTAAGTACCGCCATAACACATTATATGATTGTTATTGTTTTTGTTGTTGTTCTCGCGCATTGTTGTATACTATTATGTGCGTTTCTTGTCCCTAAAATTCGTAACTATATAATATTACACTGCAAGTATAATAATTATTGTACTGTAGTAAATGTGTTATTGAAGGACTTAAATAAGAAATTAGAAAGTATGTAGGTATTTTAGGGTGACACAGAATAACGTGCCATTCAAACGTTACCTATTTAAAAAAAATTATAAATGTGGTGCAAAACGTCGGCCAAGTTTCGTGATGTGATCTTTAAAAATGCTGATGTAGGTTTTAAATATAATATGATGTGTTCACACTGAGCTTTTTAATTTTTTTTTTTTTTAATTAAGGTTTTAACATCTGAGGTCATTGGCCTGGGTTATTGAGTAGGTTTTATTACTGAGGGTAAGGTTGGTTTAGAACACGTGTATGTAAAAATCAGGTGGTCACTGGTCACTGAACTATAGTAGCACCGGCCGGTGCTGGCACTCAGAGCACATCCAAACACCACACCACACTCACACCACTCTGACTTTATTATCTAGTAACAATGAGTATTTGTATACAATGAGTATTATCAAATTGTATTTTGATATTGATTAATATCAAAAGGTACATCCGATTTCGTGTGATTCATTTTAGAAGAGTACCGCGTAGTTATGGCACTCTTTTTAGTGTTTATAAATTATCGCTAACATAAAACAAAAACTAATTGTTATAATTATTATATTATATTGTTACTTAATTATATAGTGTTACTAAGTGATTATATTAACAGTTAGCACAAATATAAAATATTATAATTAAAAAAATAAAAATGTCTTGATTGCCTGTAGTGAGTTAAATATACTAAGCGTGTATTGAGTTGCACAATTAATTATCAGACGGAAAATCCTATTCCATACCTATTAATTACAAACGTAAATATATAATATTTTCTTAATAATAAACAGTTTTGTTTTTATATAAATAAATTTATAGTTACAATGGTCATAATATTTATGTAATTTTGGAGAGGTCTTATTGTGGGGCGTTGTTGTTCTTCCACCCGAAATCATCGAAATCGAACAGTGGATTGAAACCACCCCAACCGCCACCCCAACCGCCGCCGCCGATGCCACCACCGCCGAAACCACCCCAACCGCTTCCGCCAACTCCACCGCCGCCGCCTCCACCACCGAACGGGTTCAGGGACGGCACGAACGGGAACGGATATGCGGCGGGCCTGTTCCACGGGAGAATGCCACCTCCGCCACCGCCGCCCACTCCACCACCTCCGCCGCCGTACGGGAATACGACCGCCGGTCCCGGGAAGTAACCCCCACCGCCTCCGGCACCCACGCCCCAACCCCCGGCACCCGGATAAGCGGCCGCGGCCGCTGCCATCAGGAGCTGTTTGCGTCTTATCAGCCGTTCGAGGAGTGAATCGATGAGAGGCGTGTCCAGCCCGAAGCCGAGGCCGAAGTTGAAGCCGACCGTGTCCGCAGCGTCCTGATCCGCCGGCTGTGCACTGTCCTCCGGAGCCACCGCCGCCGCCGCTGACTTCTTCTGCTGCTGTGAAGCGAACCCGCGACTTCTGCCAGGTTGCAGCTTGGCCACCAGCGACATCGGGTGCGATTCAACGGCCGGCCGCCGGTGAGTTGGGAGCAGGCCCGCCGCCGCGGGAGCGCCGCAGCACCATCCGCTGCACAGCCACAGGCAGACCTGCGAAAATGGAAAAGTTTATCGTGAAAAACTAATATCGAAAAACCTCGATAGTGTCAACGGTATCAAAATACCTTTACCGAAAACCCGTCAACAGCATGGATCAATGTAATCTACTATCACGCAGGGGTAGGGTTCTAGGGTTCTAACCCCCCCCCCCCTTGAAATGTCTTCCTTTTACAAAAAAATCATATTTACCCCCATTTCATAATACACGATTGAGCATAAAACGATTGAGCATAGACCTTTTTAGCAACACGATTGAGCATAGTTTATTTTATGCGATGTTGCCACATTCACGTTGCCAACATTTTGTAATTTATTATTTTCTCGTGTTATTACACCAATTATTATGATATCTGACGCGAGCCGTGAGCTTTATCTACTTTATCAATTTTATCGACAATGTTATCGATTAATAAATTAGTTCCGGAGCAAAACGACGTTTTAAACATTTAGCATCGGGGGAAAATATAAGATAGTTAAGATACAAATCCAAAATTATTATAGAAATAATATCAGTGTTCGATTACCTGTATAGTGTATAGTGTGTGTATACTTAGTGCGTTTTTTCTATTTTATTAAAATATAGATATAACAATTATTTTATCGGAAAGAGGCAAAGAATTGGCCCTAGTTAATTTATACAAGTATAAATTAATTGGAGAGCGAAAAAAAGACAATCTTTTGAGATGGAGGTGTACTAATAATAAATGTTCGGCAATAATGTTCTCCTGTTTAGATAAACGTAAAGTGATTGAAACTGCTGGACAACATAATCACGATAAAAATTCTATTGAGAAAATAGAAACACAAGTTTTAAGAGAAAATTGCAAAAGAAAAGCTGAAGAATCAATTTCCACACGGCCACTTAAAATTATTCGCACCGAACTTTTAAATTCTTCTTCAACATCCAATTTAAACAATCAAAATGTTTTGATTTTATTATTTTCATAAGTCATAAGTCATAAGTCATAACTATTATTATTATTTTATTATCAACAAAAAGATCTATAAATTATACTGTGACAACTATTTACATATTAAATATGAAAACATGATATTTTTTTGTCATGTTATATTTTGAAATATTATAATTATTTAAATAAATGTTTTTATACGATACAGTTCAAAATTGAAAATGGCAACGTTGCAGAGTTTTTTATGCTCAATCGTGTTGGTTTTCTTTTGTATTTCAATTTCCTTTGATACGCCGACAATTTATGCTCAATCGTGTCGCAAAAAAGGTGTTTTATGCTCAATCGTGTCGCAGCCGTTATATTACATTTACCATAAATTGACGGTAATTTTTAATAGAATAAAATCAATTGTTAAAATATATGACAAAGACGTCGATAATCATAGTTTCAGTTTTTTATTGGCTGATTTAGAACATTGCTAAACGTCTACCACAATCGTCGTATGGTGCGTATCATCGTCCATCGATTATTACCACGTGTATTACGACACGAAGAGGCTCTATAGACGACCAGATGTCCAGGTTAAACACTCGAGTATTCTAAATGAAGACTAACTGCAATTAATTGTTATAACCAATTATATTAAAACTGTTTAGCAAAAAATATAGTAAATTATTTACACGGGTAAAACCCTAATCGAACCAAAATCCTGCGTACACTATACTGTCTACTATGTGTGTTATTCGGTATTAGTTCGAAATTCAGCGCTAAAGCCCCCCCCCCCCATTACCCGTATTATTATTACTTTTTCAAAAAAATATTAATCAAGTTAAACTGTCAACTATAGTAAGCAAGACGTAAATTTCAAATATGTCTTACCAGAATGAATTCATTTTTGAAAAAACATTGTACTTGTAACATACCAATTTTCATAAATTATCTGTAATTTTTCGGTAAAAGTATGAACTATTTGTATGAAAGACCTTGTATTAAATTGTCTAGCCTTAGCTATACACATTTAATATTTTATAAGTTTTGAACTACAAATTAACTGTGGTTTTGACAATTTGAACTTTAAATGCTTATAAAAAATAAACATGATGCCTATGTATCGTTAATATTTTAGCTATAATAAAAAAAACGTACGTATTACATTTTTCAGCTTTTTGACCGAATAAATAATTTTTTATTGACATTTATAGAAAAAAAAAACTTAATTATTCTAAAACAATCCAAGTGAAAACGGTATAACCAAACATTTAAATAAATATTCATTTTTTTTTCTCGAATTATTTTTAAAAGCACTGAGCATTTTTAATTCCATCCTCCTAATAGTACCAACTAGATCCAATTTGCTTCCAAAAACATACACCGGGCATCATCGAAGCTTATGATCAGAGCATTTTTTCTACCAGAAAAGTTGAAAAGTTACAAACATTTTAAAATACCTCAAATAAACGTCTGAAATTATTAGACTGGACAAAATGAAAAGAAAATTGTAACAAATTTTTAAGCCTCCCCCATTGAAAAATCCTGCGGACGCCACTGCTCGGTATATTAGGGTATACCGTTCAATCGGGATTTGAGCGATAACCAGGCTTGTACCGGTATGATATGGTATATCGTAAAGACCATCAATTTAGGTTGACCTGTGCAACGTTTCCTTCCCAAGAACTTATTAACATAATATTTTAACAATCACAATATTATTATTATTGTAACGTGCATGCAGATAACGTTTTTAGACCATTCGGCTGTCATACAAAAAATGTAACTACAAAAGACCAAATAACAAGACTTTCAGTGTCACAATACGATTGAGCTTAGGTACACTTTAAAATATCTTGGAGTTACCGTATTTAAATATACAGTCTTTGAGTTGTGATCGATTTCCTTGTGATAAGAGATATATTTTGGAGTTGTAGTGATAACAGATTTTGTGATAAATCTCGTAAGCGTCTATTTGACATCAGAACCTCGTTCAATCGATTTGTTCAATATTGTAAATAGTTCATACATTTTATTTCGAAGGAAAATTATAAGATTATACGCGTAGTCAATGTATGTGGGCACTATGCATGCGGGCAAATGTTTATTATGTCATACAAACATACATAATATAAATAAAAAATATTATAATATACTTATAATGTGACGAGGTGTGGTGCGGTCCGTACACTAAACAGCGGAAACGCTACTAGTGTACTTATTGGCCGGTGTGGCTAGCTCCCGGATGGGTGACCACCCGGGATTTTTGGCAATAAATCCTTGCCACACATACAATCACAACCGTTTCTCCCCACTACAAACAAAACAGCTAATAGCCATGGTTGCCTGGCTTAACTCAATAAAAATAAAAAATATTATTTGCAAGTGAAACGCATTTAGTGAGTGAGATACTGCTATCTATATTGACACTACCATTTAGTTGTTTTCAAGAAAAATGATCATTTCACGTATACGATTAATTAGTTCTGATTCAGAACTTCAGACATTAATTATACACATCATAATGGCTCGTAACAACGGTACCGAATTAAGATTATGGCAACGTTGCATTTAAAATCGTGTGGAATCGTGTGGAATCGATAAGCATACTTATAAGCATATTATATTATATTACATTACATACATTGTGTGCTATTTACAAAATCTTGTATGTTTATAAATGGTTATTAAAAATGAAAACGTATACTATTCCTTCAAATTAGAAAATTATAGCAAATTAGCGGAATAAAATTGCTGTCTTCCGGCTTTACGACATTACTGTGGGTATGGTCATCGCAGTAATAATTATTAAATTAAAGTGTATGAACAACCGTCGACCACAGCCCATAATCCTATTAAGATAAAATCTTATATTCTACTTGATATAATCAACCGAATCAGTTAACAAATAGTATATTTGAAGAAATGACCACTAAAAATAGTAGAACCTTAATTAATACAGATCTTCATTAGATAAATTCGATTTTAAGTTCAGTTTTCAAATACATTTACAAAAACTCTAAGTACCTATGCAATTATTATAATATTCATTTTCTCAAAGATATGCAAGAAAAATATTGTATTATTCAATTGAGATTGAGCCAAATCGTTGCCATAACTGACGACTAATGTATATTTTTGAGTAAAGGAAACGATTATTCGATCGCAGTGAATGCTTATCACCATAGTACTCATCACATAAATACTAATCGTCAGCAAATTAAAACTATAGTAACGTAGTAGTAACCCTGTTGAAATATTTTAATAATATTATATTAATATTCAGTAAAATCGTACAATATAATATAAACCGTTTGTAAAATTCGAGGGAATCAAGTGCATTTGGATGAGTCACGTCGTATCAGTAAAACTCAGTTCACACGATATTAATAGTGCACAAGAGAGCACAATAGATTACAAAATAAGTTATTGTCTCCATCTTATACACAACACCACATTGTCTCGATTGTGATTAAACGTGGTCAAATAAAATAGGTATAGGTATCGTGACACGAGTATAACAAAGTCGGTAAACTCGACCGAATAAATTCAACAGTTCCCTCATTTAGTATAATCACTCTCGCCAATAATTGTTTTGGTTATTGCTGCAGATTATTCCCAATACTTCTGACATATTGTTTTCTACGATAGTTTCAATCGAGTATACCAATAATATTGACTACAGCTCGACTTTAAAACCGTTATGGTTACAGTTGTAACTGCAAAGTTACCACGCCCAGATCGACAAGACGTAAAAATGCACGTAGTGAATGAGCCTTTGGTCTTCCTATTACAAAGTATAAGTACTCATAATAGCTCTAGTTTGGAATTTGGACCGAATGAAATTTATGTTCGAATCCAAATCCGTTCGTTTTGATTTCGTAAACCGACCGGCGTAAAAACTATTGTCGTCGTGAAAGTTTACGTTCTTTTTTATCATCATAATTAACATCGATCTGTGACAATTATAGAAAAAACACTGTTTGGATTTAAAGATAAAACTACTGCAGTATTGGGAAAAATGTTAGTTCGTTCGCAATTCCTATTATTGTTTAACAACCTCTCCCCCGCGAAAATTAGTCATCCGTCCTA